GCTTGCTGTTTGATGTTTCTTATATGCAACAGAAATAGCAGCGCTTATGTGAGGTGGGGCAACGTAGTGGTCGCACCAGTGTGATTGCTCACAAAATTTAGTCGCACTGGCAGAAAAAACGGTCACAAAATGCGACCATTTGTTTGCAGTCTGGAGCCCTGTATAGGAAGTGACAAAAAACTGTTGAAAATTCTAGAAAATTGTTCTTATCCTGTAAGTCCCCACTCTTTTGTGCCCTAAGGTAGAAATGCCCTAACAGTAGGGAAAACTCAAGTGTATACTTTACATTTTGGACAACCATTGTTTTTTTTATTATTATTTTTAAATTTACATTTTGGTTATTGTTTTCTTTCTCTCTTTAGATGCTGGAGAAAAAACAGCCAGGCTAAAGCATTCAAAGTGGAAACTTCTGTCGTGGCTCAATAATCCAGGATTGGGATGGTGGAAGGAGCAGAAGAACCAGAAGATCAGAGATCTACTGGTGCCCCCGAGGGAACAGATTTACCTAATGTGTTAGTTAAACCAAAAATTTTCATCACTCACCTTCATGTTGTTCCAAACCTGTAAGACTTTTGTTCATCTTTGAAACATAAATGTAGATCTTTTTAATGAAATCTGAGAAATTTCTGTCCCTCCATTTCACAGTTTATGCAACCACCACTTTCAAGCGTCAGAAAGGTAGTAAAGTTGCTGTTTTTTGCGTACACAAGGCATCTGTTAAAAATGTCTTCATTTGTGTTCTGCACAAAAGGGTCTTATGGGTTTGGAGCGACATGAGGGTAAGTAATTAATGACCAAATTTACATTTTTGGGTGAAATATGTTCTAATGTGGTTATAATTAGTCCTTGTTCTGTTTTATAAACATTTTCAATATTTTAAAGATATAAATGATGAAAAATGATGTTTATACAGAAAAGATGGATTCATTTGATGAAAAGTTACAGTAAAGAATTGTTAAAAAAAACTTTCAAATAAATACTGCTGTTTTGCAAGTTCTATTATAAGAATACTGAAAAATATATTGGTTTCCACAAAAATATTGGGCAGCACAACTGAAAGGTTTCTTGAGCACCAAATCAGTATATTAGAATGATTTCTGAAGGATCATGTGACACTGAAGACTGGAGTAATGATGCTGAGAATTCAGTTCACAGGAATAAATTACATTTTGCAATGCATTCACATAGAAAATAATTCTTTTTGTAGTTATATTTCACAATATTACAGTTTTTATGGTATGTTTGAAAATGTAGGCTTAAGATTTTTTTTACGTGAAAGATGTATTTAATGTGTCAATAAATGTTTTGGTACTCTTGTGAATTGTCTTATTTTGACAGTAATTGTGAATATGAAATATAAATATAATCAATGAATTCACGGTTGTAAATAGGCCTGAAAATACGTCTTTTCACCTTCCATTTTTAAACCAAATTTAGACGTAATTTGGACGTCTTTTTATAGACGTCTTTTCGACAACTTGAAAAAGACGTCTTTTCACCTTTCACTTTTCAACCAAATTTTAACGTTGTTTAGACGTCTGGCATTGACGTCTTTTCAACGAGTTTTTGCTGGGTGGGAAGTAAGCCCCATTGTGGTACTATCAACTGTACCACCTTGGAAATTCTTAAAGCCATCTGTAGATATAAGCCTTTAACAAATGTTAAAAGAAAAATCGAAAATAATGCCACAGAGGATAATAGTTCAAAACTATATGGACCTTTATCAAGACAAACTATTCATATTTACAGATGGATCAAAGCAGCCAGAGACAGGCCGTACTGGGGCTGCTTTCTCCATTTCGCATTATGAAATAGCAGTTAAAAAAAGAACAGCAGATCATTTATCGGTGTACACAGTAGAGCTTTTAGCAATTTTATTGGCATTACAGTGGCTGGAAGGAAATAAACAGAACCAAAATGTAATCATAGCTTCTGACAGCTTATCTGCTCTATCTAGTATTCAATCTGGGAAAACATCATGTAGACAAGATATCATATACCAGATATTCAACTTACTTTTAATACTGTATGATAAAGGGCTGAATGTTTCCTTCCTTTGGGTTCCTGCTCATGTAGGGGTGGAAGGAAATGAGATTGTAGATATTCTGGCAAGAGGAGCAATAAAGCATGAAACAGTTGATATACGGTTTGCCAACCGCCAATAAAATTAAAAGAAGAAGAAGAAGAAGATCTTAGCCGCGAGTCTTCAAAACACGAGCAGCAGACAGGTAACGCGGAAAATGGACATTTATCCTACCATAATGTTGTTGTAAACTTAGCGAATGCAGTAGCATGCGAGTTATGCTTAATTATAATATAAGTATCACTCGATTGCTGCCACATTTCTGACATTGATCTTTCATTTGTTTTATGTAAGGTCATTAAACGGCGCTAGCATAGTTTAGCATGTTCTCATGTCATTAGCTCAAAGAAATGCATTTAGTGAAATTAAATCTAATTCCACGTCCAACTCTAACGTGCAAGAAATTTATATCTTTGATTTAATGATAGCTAGCACTGTCATCCATGTAATACAAACATAAAGTTTACAATATCAACAAAACTAAACATGAATTCAACATGATTAACTTCTTGATTCTCACTGTTTTGTTTAAAAGTTAATAATAATATCAACAACTTTAATAGAATGCCAAGGAAAGAAAGTATCAAAAGAAAAAAACACAAGGAACTCTCTGATGCAGCCAAAGGTAGCATCCCTCTCACAAGTTGGCTGAGGAGAGAGAATAAAGATGACGGTACTGTTTAAATTTTTTTGTTTAAGCTAATAAGCTATTATACTTATATTACAGTCCATAAAATACTTAATGAGAAGTTTTTATTAAAAGGAATAATTCACCCAAATTGATAATTCTGTCATCATTTACTCATCTATATGTAGTTTCAATTCATGACTTTCTTCTGTGGAATATTTACAAGATTTGTTTTGTCCATATATTGAAAGGCAGTGGGGAACAAAATGGAGTCCCCATTTCCATTCATTATATGGCCAAAATTATTATGTAATTAAATTGTATTTTCCACAGAAGAAATCATGTTTATTTTGGGGCAAACCATCCCTTTAATATAAAAATAATGTAATTAAATTTGTTTTTCATAGAGCGTTGGAGTTCAGATAAGGAGAGTATTGGAGAGATTCAAGGGAAAGCAGTTGAGACAAGTGAGAAAGATGAAGGAGAGGTTAGAGCCAATGAGGAAGAAAGTGAGATAAGTGAGGAAATACAAGGAGACATTAGGCCCAGTGAGAAAGAGGAATAAATGAAAAGGGAGGTACAAGGAGAGATGATTCAAGAAAAGGATAGAGAGATAACAGAGGAAGGAGCTGCAGAAGCAGATATTGAATACCGTGAGGAAGAGGAAGAGATGAAAAGGGAGGTACAAGGAGAGATGATTCAAGAAAAGGATAGAGAGAAAACCGAGGAAGGAGCTGCAGAAGCAGATATTGAATACCAGGTTCAGGGTACAAATAAACAAAGCCATTTACCCATCCTTGATGACCTTACAGTTTCCAACAGACCCAGCTCATGTTGATCAGCTTAAAATAAAGGTTAATAGCAACTATATACAGTTCTGCTGCTCTCTTGGGCCATGTCAACCAGTAGCTGGCTTTCCAAAAAATCCACAAGGACGGTCTTTTCAGAGCCAGTGGTATGCTGGTAACAACTGGCTGGAGTATTCTGTGGAAAAAGTTGCCATGTACTGCTTTAGTTGTCGTCTCTTCTTGACAGAAGAAAAGTTTAAAGCCAGGACTGCATGGAGAACAACTGGAGTTGTCAACTGGAGGAAGGCTGTTGAAAAGATCCATGAGCATGCAGCCACTGAAGCCCATTTGATCAGTATGGTGAGGTGGGCCAACTATAGAAAGGGGCCTTTAGTTGAAGCTTTTAAAGCTCAGGCTGCAGAAGGTGTTACCAAATGAAAAAGAAAGACAGAAGAACAGAGAAACCCTGTTTCGCTTAATAGACATCACAGTATATTTGGCAAGACAAGGACTGGCATTTAGGGGACATGATGAAAGCAGCACCAGTTCAAACAGAGGAAACTTCCTTGAGTTTGTGCACCTCTTAGCGGAATATGACAGTGTCCTCAGAATGCATCTTGAGTGTATACAGATCACTCAGTCCCAAAACAAGAAGCCACAGGTGACACTTTTATCTAACAGGACCCAAAATGACCTAATACGATCTCTTGGAACACAAGTAAGAAATGTCATTCTGAAAGAGATTAATGAGGCCAAGATATTTTCAATTCTTCTGAATGAAACTACTGATGTGTCACACTCAGAGCAAGTGTCCTTTGTGGTCCGGTTTGTCCATGACATGCAAATAAAGGAGCGTTTCATCCAAGTGTGTCACGTTAAATCAACAACTGGCCAAGACTTGGAGGAAGTGGTAATGGCCCTTCTTTCAGAAAATGGGTTGAATGCTGAAAATATCCGGGGTCAAGGCTACGATGGTGCAGCCAACATGAGTGCTAGTTAGTTGCAGGCTAGAATTCAGAGGCAAAATGAAAAAGCACTCTTTGTGCACTGCCAAATTCACTGTTTAAACTGTCACTGTTTAAACTTAGTGTTAGTGGAGACTGCTAAATCAAGCCTCCATTTTGTGCGTTTTTTTAATTTGGTAGAGAGGCTCTACACTTCCCTGTCTTCTTCTAGCAAGCGTCATGCTGCCTTCATAGAAATGCTTAGAAAAGAAAAGTTGTTGTATGCTGAAGAGAAAACCTGGGAATTAAAACAGCTGAGTGACACACGTTGGGCCTGTTGAGAACATGCCTTAAAAGCACTGCAGAAAGTCTTTTCTGCAGTTATGCAGCTGTTGAAAAAAATCTCAGACAGCAATCCACCTGATCCAGCTGCAGGTGATGCTCTAATGTTGTTTCGCAGCATAAATTGAGTTTATGTTTTGTTTGGAGGTGGCCACCCCAGTGTTTCAGGAGACTACTGTTGCATCAGCTGCTCTTCATCTTGCATCTAGCAGTGTCATACACACTGGTGGAAGGAGTGCTAAAAAGGCTTCAAGAACTGAAGACAGAAAGTGAATTCAAGGTTGTCTTTGAAAAAGCAAAGGAGCGGGCTGAGGCTGCTGGAATTGAGTTTACTGACAAAATACCTGGTGAGTCAAGACCCAGAACAGTTCCAAGTCAACAGGAGAAGACCATCACCCTGAGAATTTGGAGGAGTTCTACCGAACATGGGTGTACTACACCTTTTTGGATACCATCACTCAAGAGATGCTCAGGCGATTCAAAGGAAAGGATAATAGTTCAACTGGCATTATCCTCAAAGGCTTACACAATCTGACAGTAGCATCCAAATGGTCAAAAGGAGTAGAACCTGGTGATGCTGAATTTGTCAGAACAGTTAGTAAATTCTACGGGATTGAGGAAGAAAAGGTCTTTACAGAACTTAAAGTGTTACATGCATCCTACTCATTCACCAAAAATAATGTCCAGGAAATGCTAAAGTGCCTAAAAGACAATGAGATTGAGTCTGTTTTCCCCTCTTCCTGAACTCCTAAAAATGTATGCAACATTACCTGTCTCCACTTCTACAGTTGAGAGGTCATTTTCTAAGTTAAAACTTGTGAAATCCAGTCTTCGAAGTCTGTGTAATGAAGAGAGGCTTTCTGACCTACTGCTGCTCTCCATTGAGCAAGACATTCCAATTAATCGTGAGGAAGTTATTCAAATATTTAAAAAGACAACAGAAAGACGAATACTGATTTAAATACAGGTAATTTCATAAATTATTAAGTTTAAAATCTGTACAAAAAATACATTTGGTTATGTTTATTGAAGTAATTTTTTTTTTTTTTGTGCCCTTTTTGGTCCTTCCACCCATGCCCCACAGGAGGTCTGTGCACGCCACTGGTCGGCAGATTGTTCGAGAATCTTAGTGCTCATAGCAGCTTGCTTCTTTTCACTGTCCCCCTCTTTAATTATCAGTCTGGTCGGTTTGATCATACTTTTTAATTGTTTGGAGCATCTTTGTAAACAGATGATCTTGGGACAATTTTGCTTCCGTCTCTGACGCGAGCGACTGTTCAACACGCCATCTTGCCCGGAAGCCAGTTGTATGAATGAATTAGTCTTGTTTCGTTCGTGAACGAATCGTTCTTTTTGAACGAATCTTTTAGGTGAACGAATCGTTCACGTAATCCATTGACTCATATTTCTCGTTCACTGAAATTCCTCCCTCCAGAGAAGCGCATGCGCAGATCAGTGAACCGGGTAGCTCTGTGGACTGTTTCATCCTGTCAAAGAATGACTAAACCTCGAGCCAATAGCCTTCGAGTTTGATATGTGACGGAGCATGTGATTTGTTGAATGAAGTGAACGAATACGCCCTTCAACTGAACGAGTTTCTTTTGAGTTTGAACGAGATCGAGAGATCTTCTCGTTCATGAACGAAATGACCGAACTGGTACTTGTCGTTCGTGAACGAGTTGAATGAACTGCTACATCTCATTCGTGAATGAAATGACTGAACTGGTACATATCTCGTTCGTGAACGAAATGAATGAGAGAGTACCTGGTCAGTCGGCCATTTAGCATGTCAATATCGATCAGCAATCAGCAGATGCAAAGCTCAGTTATAGGTACTGTGCACATACGCTTGTTTATATATTCATATTTAGCATACAGAACATAACTCCACGTTTAATCCCCGATTTATGAATGTGTAATTGTCTGACCAAACAATTAAAATGTTAATTATGCAAGAAAACCTTGTGCTTTGGTCATCTGAACAACTTATTTAGACTTTATTTATTTAATGAGTAGATTATGCACACATTTTAATAAAGCCAAATCAGTTTTTGTAACAGGTGAATACGTTCCTTGACTTAAAACATAACGCATAAGACACTCTTTTTCGCCACCTTCTGGCGTATTTATGTAATATGAAGAAATGGTCACTGAACGAATCAGTGAACGAATCTGAACGAATCATTTTAGTGAACGAACTGAAAATGAACGAATCTCTTGAAAGAATCAAAATTTCCATCACTAGAATGAATGAATGACTTGCACTACCAGTTGGTTTCATCAACAGCCGCTTGCATCACCTGCTGGTGAGCAACTGACAGCAGATGGCGATCATGCATCGGTGCTCTACTGCTATTCTTGTCAGTTCCCTGATGTGCAATGCCGAATTTTTTGGCTAATTTGAACCACTGAATTTGTGGAAGCGAATTTGTAAAGTGAAATAAAATGGACTGAAAAACGCCTGTCGAATATTATACATCGTTTTTTTAAACAGATTGAATATTTTAGAAGTGAAATCTAGAAAGTGAATATGAATTATTGAATTTTTAATAATGAAAATGTGTGTGAAATGTTTTGAATTGAAATATTCACAGCTTAAATATACAACTATGTTGGATTTCAGGCCCTAAAAATGCAAGCCCTGAAAATACAAGGCATTAAAATACAAGCACTGTTAATGCAATGCATTATTTTTTCAGTTAGTGCAATTCAACATGCTTTTTTGTTTCAAAGACATTTGTCATTATTTTTCTTCCATAGTTGAACATCAGTTGGCTCTAGTACTGATGCTACTATTACACACTGGCACATCGACAGTAGAAGTCCTCACTTACCAGCACGAGGACCTGGTCACAAGGCAGATATTCATATGCACACGCTGCCTCCAGTAAACCACATGAGTAAACATTGCACTGCAACTGAGGACACCACCTGCTCGCCATGTCCAGAGCAAGGTTATTATAGTTTTGCATTTTTTAATTCGTTTTATTTTAATATCGTTTTCAAATTTGCAATAAAATTTAGTTTCGTTTTTATTAGTTTCATTAATAATTTTGTTAGTTTTAGTTTAGTTTTTATTTTGTGAACACATTTCTATTTAGTTTTTATATAGTTTAGTTTTAGTTTTAGTAGGCTGATTAAAGTTTAGCAGAATTAACAGATCACTAAATCGCTAATAAAGCATGCTGAGAATGATTAGATGGTAAAAGTATACAAATACACATCTAAATGAAGCAGTTATGCCTTTTTAAAACTACACAAGTTGCGCTTACATTATATTTAAAACGCACTACTGAATGATACATGTGTGTTGTGATTTTTAATTTGAAAATAAATGTAGCTAATTTCTTTTATATTATGTCTTTCATCTTATTTAACCATAATCATGATACCATAACTGTCGTGTCTTTCTCACTTTCCCGTGAACAAACGCGCATAAATCATAAGTGGAACTTATGAAATTCAATAATAATGCCTTAACATTCGATCTGCATCGTTGCGCATTCGCGCTGAAGTGAATGACAGCTTAGGGAGCGCTCGTTGCTGCTTTCTGTAGCCTATATATCATTTTATTTGTAAGTTTTATTTTTAATGCTTCTGTAAAGGACTAACGGCCACACACTGCAGAGTTTAAGGAGAGACAATTGTTTTTAACATTGAATGCGTATTTAAATATGTTATTTTCTTTTATGAAGAATTATAAGCATGTAGTTTATGCACATTTGTTCAAAACAGCCTGGCGGACTGTTCACAAGATGTGGGCAAAAGTTTTTATTGTTTACAGTAACGATGCGCGTTCTTTGTTCTGTTGCGCTGCTTGTCTATTTTTCTTCAAAGCACCAACTTAAAATGCCTATTTTGGTTTGATTGCTTGTGTTACATGAGAAAATAAATAATTTTGCCTACCAATTAGAGTAACGTGAGGCTAAAACATGTAAATATGATGTCTGGATCATTGTCAGATGAGCTGTCAGATGCTGAGCTGACCCAGGACGCATAACTTACCATCAGACTCACCATCACTCATTGCATTTAGTGTTTCTAATACCTACCTTCCATCAATCGCCTTTTTAAAGTCATTTTGACTTTATTTATGAAACTGATAACCACTAAATCAGTGAGTGAAAGGCGTTGCCTAGAAATGTACAATGTTAAAACATAAGCGGCAAGAAAATGACAGCGCGAAAATACATGCATTATAGCCTCTGGGAGAGTTTAATGTTTTATTTTAAATCTTTTATGTACATTTGAAAAACAGCCACGGGTAAAATTTTCCCCGTGGCTGTTCTAGTGTTAAATTGGTGCTGGCTGCTGTCGGATAACGGGTCGGGAGTTCTGTTATGTACTGTGGATGCAGGTTTACCTAAGGACCCGTGCAGGACTCTGCTATTGCATCTCCCCGTCAGATAACCTCACGTGTATGATGCGCCATTTACAGGTATTTCCCTAAACCGACACACAGCTCATATATTTTTCCACCATTGGGTGAGAACATAATGATTACGAAAACGATTATTTATTTTTGATAATTATTATTTTATTTCAGTTAGTTTTGCAATAACTGTCGTTAGTTTAGTTTAGTTTTAGTTTTTCATTTATTTTAATGTTTTTATTTTATTTCAGTTTACGAAAATGTTTTTTGACCAATCATTTTCGTCTTAGTTTTCGTTTACAAAAATAACCTTGGTCCAGAGGACCATTTCACACAGTTCTGGAACTATTTACCGAAATTGCTGTATTGCAGCACTTTCTAGGAAATCAGTACATTAAGAAAGAATGCTCTGCTACTAACAATAGAGTTTGCCAGTGTAAAGAAGGCTATTTTTGGCAAGCCGACTTCTGCATCAAGCACGCGGAGTGTCCATATGGATAAGGCATTCAGCGGAATGGGATTTTAGACGTTTCTGGGATATTATGTTTTTCTTTGTTTTTGTTTCTAAATTACATTAGTCAAACGTTTTTAATGTGTTTATAGGTACCTTACACAGTGATACAAAATATGAGAGGTGTGCGCGAGGCACCTTTTCTGCGGTCACATCTTCGACATCGCCTTGCGTAAAACACACCGAGTGCAAATCAGTGGATCTTCATGTGGTGCTGAGGGGAACCTTTTCTGCGAAAATCTCCAGAATAGTGTCTAATTGGTCATCGATTCCAAGTCATACATAATTCATATGTAATCTTTAGCCGACTTGCCCTTGAATGTTTTTGCATTGTGGTATTCTGACCTGTAGAGGACAGCACAGAGTAATTAAAAGACATTTACACAAGCATACTTTGTGCTAAGATTCTCTGGTCAATTACTAAACACAAAATAAAATCGAAATATCAAGTATTCCAGACAGTTGTATGGAAAATAATTGTATAATAATTTTATAAACATTCTTAACAAATTTGTGTAGTGTTACCAAAAAATTAATGACATGACTAAATAATAAAACAAAATTCTTATTTTAACATTTTATTTTTGATTTAACTATTTAAATAGCTGTTTTAAGCTTATTTATATAGTACAGCAAAATGTATGAACATGAAGACAAAGTCACTGCCTGTTTATTTGTGACGTTTTTTACAATTTCTGTAAAGGAGGTTTATCTATACTGAAAAAGTTCCTGCCAGACTTCTTTGCTCGTGAAAAAATACGCCAATCCAAACTGTACAGATTTGTGAGACATCATCTTGGCCAGAAGCTGCAATGGAAACATTCCCTCTATTCAAACCAATCACTTACATCTTCCCATTTCAGAGTGGATTGGAGGTGCTAGTATAGACCAGCTCAAAAAATTACCCATGCAACTCAGACATAGCAACATCCACAACACTGCCGTCAATCTCTCAAATATTTTCAAGGAGTTAGGGATCTCAACTAGTAATTGTGAATAAGCTTTTTTTTTTTTTTTTTTTTTTTGGGGGGGGGGGGGGGATTAATTTAATAAGACAGACTTAGAAGTTTTTGCATCTGAAATCTTCACATGCATTTCGTATTACTGAACTGCAGTTATA